AGGCCCGAAACGTCAGCCTTCTTGCTCCTCTGATGCTGCTTGACCTGCTGTGTTCATCCAGCTCTACACCTTGTTATCTCAGATTCTCCAGCATCGGCAGTTCCTGCTATCTCTGTTTATTCACAGATGCTGAATTCCTTCAGCACTATCACTGTTTCAGATTTCCAGCATCGGCAGTAATTTGCTTTTACTGGGACCTGTTGATTTCAGGGTCACCAGTCTATTTTATCCCTGTCTCATGCAATAAGCAGAACTTAAATTCCCGTTCTGAGGAAGGGTCATTGGAGCCGAAACGTTAACTTTGTTTTCTCCTCCACAGATGCTGCCAGACCTGCTGAGCTTTTCCAGCAACTTTGCTTTTGCTCCTGATTTGCAGCATCCGCAGTTCTTTTGGTTTTTACTTAAATTCGCAAGCTGGGCTGGAGGGATTCTGAACTCGCATTCCTGGATGACCAGGGACAACAAGGTGCAGGGCCGGATGAACACAGCAGGCCAAGCAGCATCATAGGAGCAGAGAGGCTATTCCTGGATGACCAGTCCGTTTTGCATGACAACCATGTGACTGTTGTAGGGGGAGAAACAAGGATATGTATTCCGAGAGCAAAAGCAGAGATTGCTGGAAAAGCTCAGCAGGTCTGGCAGCATCTGTGGAGTTAACGTTTCGGGTCGAGTGACCCTTGCTCAGAACTGGAATACATTTCGGGGGAATGACATTTTGAAATGGATGAAAGCACGACAAGGCCGACATTAACTCGGGCTCTGTGCAGAATCTTTTGGGGACGGTATCGCGCTCTGCCTGCCTCAATCAACGGCACAAAGCAGCAACAAAAAAAAACAGGAGAAACTCAAAGGGAACGATAATAATAATAAAAAAAGAAGCCCAGTGAACCTTCTTCAAGCTGTTCCTCTGTTTTCTCTCTCCACACAGCCGGTGCCAACCCACCCCCTTCCTGGTTTGTTTTGTTTCAGATTGCCTTTGCTGGGTTTGGAGAGAGAGCAGTAGACTGTGCGCTGTTAGCGTAGCGCTGTTGCCTGGAGACAGTTTGTTACACCAGGACAGCTCAGGGGGGTGGGGAAATGCTGTGTTCAACACTCCTCATCCCAGCAAAGAGTTCCCATTCGGCTTGTTATTTCCGAGGCAAACATCCGTGCAATCATGGCTTCCCGTAGTGCCGGGACACTCATAACTAACTACAACGCGACATACATTCCTCCTGCCTTAATGCCAGGGTAAGATGAATGACATTTAAAATAAAAACCCAGAAATTGCTGGAAAAGCTCCGGCAGTATCTGTGCAGAGTAATCAGAGTTAACGTTTCGGGTCCAGTGACCCTCCTTCAGAACGTAAGTCCTGCTGACATTTTCTAACAATTTCTGGTTTTGTTTCTGATTTCCAGCATCCGCAATTCTTTCGTTTTAGTTTAGGATTAATGATACCTTGAGAATATTCGATGTCAGGACTTGTGCTGATTGGGGTGTCGCAGAAATGACTGTGACCACCGCAAGTGTTATTGATTAACACCGCTCAGTCGCAGCAACCCAGAATTGGACGACAATTTTCAACCACTACAGAAATAATATAGCCTCAAGAGAGACGTTTTGTTACTTTTCTGGTCTGTTATAAAGGATATCTTTACGTTTATATGTTTTACGGTTTTGTTTTCAGATAAACAAACTGTTTGCCATGGTGTATTACTGAACATTTCTGTTCCAGTTCATAATGCTGGTGAAGCTGCTCCTGCCCTAAGGCCTTCTGGGGAATTCAGTTAGTTCCAAACTCATCCAGGTTTGTCCTGAAATAGTCACATAAAAATAAAACCATCTGCCCCTCCCCATGGTGTTAGGAGGAAGGTACTGGCACCGATAGAGGATTGGCTGACTGGCACAAGGCAGAGAGTGGGGATAAAGGGGACTTCTTCAGGATGGCAGCCAGTGACTAGTGGAACTCCACAGGGGTCCATGTTGGGACACAACTATTCACATGATACATTGATGATCTGGATGAAGGAACTGCAAAGTCTGCAGATGACACAAAGATAGGTGGAGGGACAGGTTGTGTTGAGGAAGCAGGGAGGCTGCAGAAGGACTCAGATAGGGTAGGAGAGTTGGCAAAGAATTGGTAGATGGGATACAGTGTGGGAAAGTGTGAGATTATGCACTTGGGTTGGAAAAATAGAGGCATAGACTACTTTCTAAATGGGAAAAATCTTCTGAAATCTGAAGCACAAAGGGACTTGGGATTCCTAGTTCAGGAATCCCTTAAGGTTAACTTGCAGGTTCAGTTGGCAGGTGGAAAGGCAAATACAATGTTTGTATTGATTTCAACAGGGCTAGAATATAAGAGGAGAGACATACTGCTGAGGCTGTAGAAGTGTCGAGTTAGACCGCATTTGGAATATTGTGAACAGTTTTGGGCCCCACATCTAAGGAAGGATGCACTGGTTTTGGAGGGGTCCAGAGGAGGTTTACAAGAATGATCCCTGGGGGTGAAGGGCTCGTCATATGAGGACCGGTTGAGGAATCTGTGCATGTTCTCGATGGAGTTTAGAAGGATGAGGGGGATCTCATTGAAACTTACAGAATATGGAGAGGTCTGGATAGAGTGGATGTGAAGAAGGTGTTTCCAAAAGTAGGAGAGACTAGGGTCCGAGGGCACAGCCTCAGAGTGAAGGGATGACCCTTTAGAACTGAGATGAGGAGGGATTTCTTCAGCTAGAGGGTGGTGATTCTGTGAAACTCATCACCACAGAGGGCTATGGAGGCTAAGTCATTGAATGTCTTTAAGACAGAGATAGATAGACTCTGTTAGTAAGGAGACCAAAGGTTATGGGAGAAGGCAGGAGAATGGGGTTGAGCAACAGATTAGCCATGATCGAATGGTGGAGTAGACTTAATGGGCTGAATAGCCTAATTCTGTTCCGATATCTCATGGTCTTACAGTCCCCCATTAACAAAAGAAAGGAAAATTCAGGGAAATAATGATTGATCCTGTACTGTGCATTGATACAAATGTAATGAATATGCATCATCTGGAATTGGTTAGCATTTAGATTTATGGACCTTAGTTTAGATTATATTAAATTTGTGAAATCATCAGTTAGGCTGCATTGACTATATATTCATTTTAAACTTTCAGATATATGTACATGTTCTCCCTTGTCATTTACAGTTCCAGATGTTGGTGTGCCCAGTGAATAGTGTTGCCAACAATTAACCAATCTATTCCTGGAGAAGTTAATTTGATTTATTGCAGTTGCATGTATCTAAGTACAGTGAAAAGTTTTGTTTTGCGAGCAGAACGAGCCAGAACGTAACATATAAAGATAATACAGATCACAGGGTGCTTAGACAAAGCAAGGCATACAAGGTTACAGCTGCTCAGAAGGTACACAAAGCAAGATCAACATTAGATTTGAAATTAGAGAGGTCCATTCATTTCATGTGTTTGGCCCCACCTACCTGTGTTAGTTAACCAATGCAGCCATCCTTGTGATGCTTTGTCTCCCTACCCCAATTGGATAGCATGACATCTCACTGCTAACAGACCGATGCTTGTCTGTCAGTACTTATTTCCCTAATTTTCAATGATGAGGGGAATTGATTATAAAATAATGACACAAGAAAGCAACAACAGTTTCCTGGAGATTAATCTTTGCTTTCTGGAGACCTCAGGTCAGTCCTGAATGACTGACAAACTGATTAGCCAATCTAAAATGGGCTCAAAGAGGGTTGTGTAATAGTATATTATGATAGTGTCCCTGCTTTTGGGCCAAATTGTCCAGGTCCAAGTCCCACCTGTGGCACAGGTGTATCTAATATATTGATTAAATGAACTCACGTGCTAACTTTTATAGTACAGACCATCATGTCTGCACCTTTTCTTTTCAAGAGCAGACCATTTCTCAGCTTTTTTCTTTTTTACTGCCTTGATCAAATTCCCTTTTGATGATTGCTATTAAATAAGTCACTACCAGCCTATTAGGCAGTATACTGCTGCTCATATTGAACCTTCAATCATTGGAAACAACATAAATAAAAATAAATTGTCTAAACACTTCAAAATTTTGAGCACCTGCAAGAAATCTCCTCCTGGTTTGGTCTACCATACGGAGAACAATTCCACCCTCTGCAATATATCCATGTAACTATAATCCCTCATCCTTGGAACTAATCCAGTCAATTGCTTCTGTATCTTTGACAAAGCCATCACATTTCTTCTTAAAGCATACTCATCAGATTTGGACTCCAAATTGTAATTGGAGCTGAAATAGTGTTTATATAGATGAAGCATAACTTCTGTGTCTGTATATCAGTTTATAAATCCCAGGATCCCCACATGTTTCATTAACTGCTATGTTAGTCTGTTCTGCCACCTTCAAAGATATGTACACCAAACCTTCAGATCCCTGTATTGTATCCCTATAAGATTGCACTATTTTGTTTGATTTGTCTCATTCTCCCTAGCAAGGTTTATCTGTTCTTGCTTCTCCATTAAAATGTTACCACTTAGCTAGCATTGTCTCTCTTTTATACTGGTGTCCAAGCAAAACCATCTCACACTTCTGTGCATTGAACTTATTATTGAACAGATTACTGTCTGCCCATTTTACCACCCTGTTTAAGATTTCTTGTTGCCTATTGCCATCTTCCTCACTGTTTACTATGGTTTCAAGTTTTATACCAGCTACAGTTTTCACTGTAAGTCTGGTACCTAGCCATATCCTTTAAGTAATTTATTTAAAATCGAAAAGTTTATCACATATTAAAACTTAACATGATATTAGAAGAAACAAAAATCAGTAATGAATTCACAAATAAAATGTATATCATTTGAGGGTCCGTAATGCACATAAGATTCCAGATGCTGAAATGGCTTTCATTTCCTATTAATGTGAAATCTCAAAGGTGACAGCTAGTTGTTCAAACCACAATTACTCTGCTGACTATCAAAACAATACTGAATATCTGTGAATCACCTAATCCATCATAGTACTCTTTACATGCATCTTTTCCAACGTTATACAGTTGTGAAGAAGCAGAGAAGGTGAAGGGGAGATTTAATAAAGCAGTTTAAAATGATGAAATGTTTTGATAGAGTAAATAACAACACGGTGTTTCTAGTGGCAGAAGGGCCAGGATACAAAGGACAGAGAATTTGAAAATTGTGATGGTCCAAGATGCATTGACTAAAAGAGTGGAAGCAAGTTAAATAATAATGTTAAGAAGAAAATTGGAAGAAAATATAGATGTATGTTGAAAGGATCAGGTAATCAGAGCGTGTGTCACCAACACCAAGATGTCCACCACTTACACAATGGTAACAATAGCAAAAACTTATATTTTCATAAGTGCTTTGACACTCCTGCAGACAGCAGCTCTGCAGGCAGTATTTACAAGGTGAGAAATATCAAGACCTGCAATGCATTTGGCCCATTTGAACCAAAAGCACTTCTGTGACCAGGAGCCAGTTACAGCTTTAAACCAGGAGGCAAAATCCTTCACTTTGTCTCAGATATAGAGAGATGCTACCTTCACTACAGACATTGAACTTGTCATTAAGGCTCGTCCTCTGGTGCAGAGCAGAGGTGAGCTCCAAGGTTACTGCTCAGTGCACTTTGAGTGAAACTGGATTGTCTGCCCAGTTTTACTCTGGTTGAGATAGACTGTGTGTGGATTTTACCCTGGACCAGGAGCTCATTACGCAGTGTGATGATATGGGCAGTGCCATCTTTGTTCCAGGAAGCTGCCATGGTGGGGCACAGCAAAGACACGTTTGTGTGCATGTTCTTTGTGCAGCTTTATGATGACATTGACAATGATGCAAGGGGAATTGAATATAAAACTCAGGGGGTTATTCTTGAGTTGTACAGAGTGTTGGTGAGACCACATGAATAGGAAAAGTTTAGAAGGATATGGGCCAAACACAAGCAAGTGGAACTAGTTTAGTTTGGGAAACTTAGTCAGCATGGACGAGTTGGTCCAAAAGGTCTGTTTCTGTGCCGTATGACTCTATCACTCTGTAAAAAATGCAGCCAAGGGAACGAGGACTATTGTTATAGTGACACTGTGCTAAATTCTTTCTGTGCTGTAGCAGCCTACACTTTTATGTTGTTTATAAAGAAGTGTAGAACATGCTATTTAATATTCAAATGGCTGGATTAGTCAGGCTGTATTGATCTTGCATAGCTTCTCGTGTGCATAAGCAGCTTTTGCATTATAGTCATAGAGTCATAGAGCTGTGTAGCACAGAAACTGTGTAGTCCAACTCGGCCATGCCGACCAGATATTCTAAATAAATCTAGTCCCATTTGCCAGCATTTGGTTCACATCCCTCTAAACCCTTTCTATTCGTATTCCCAACCAGATGCCTTTTAAATGTTGTAATTGTAACAGCCTCTATACTTCATCTGGCAGCACATCCCGTGCATACACCACCCCCTGCATGAAAAAGTTGCCCCTTCTGTCCCTTTTAAATCTTTGCCCTGTCACCTTAAACCTATACCCTCTACTTCCTCCACGCCAGGGAAAAGACCTTGTCTATTTACCCTATTCAAGCCCCTCATGATTTAATAAACCTCTATTAGGTCACTCCTCAGCCTCTGATGCTCCAGGGAAAATAGCCCCAGTCTATTCAGCTTCTCCCTATAGCTCAAACCCTCGCAACATTCTTGTAAATCTTTTCTGAACCCTTTCAAGTTTCACAACATCCTTCCTACAGCAGATCTGCACACAATATTTCAAATATGGCCGGACCAATGTCCTGTTCAAATAAATTCTATCTATTTGCTATTTCTTAACTGGAACTTGAAAAATGTCTCTAATGCTAACCTAAGTGTCAGGGACTTGGACCAGCTACCCTGGGACTTAGCTGGATACCTGAGCAGGAAATATTACGTGTTAGTACCTGGTCTGACACAATGGCCAACTAGCATAACTGGACTGGCCACCACAACAGATATTCCAATCTCTACCCAACCCAAATCGTCAGCCCCAGAAATCAGCTGACACAACCTAATGCTTTTCCTCCACATAGCTACCTTCTGATCCAACTACCCTTTCACCCACTTGACACCTTTAAAACTTGTTTGAATATGGCAGCTAGTCCCAGGAAAAGGAGAGGTATCCTCTCTTTTTCCATTTCCTTTTGTGCTGGATGGATTTCTTCATGGATCTCTGCATTGACCCAGCTGGCTGAAAACTCCCGAAACAGCCAGGAGACAGAAATAGTCACATGTAGCCTCCATATTGAGTAGAAAATCTGGGATATGTTTACATACATGCAAATTAGGAGCTGGAGTAGGCAATTCAGTCCCTCAAACTTGCTGTGCCATTCAATAAGAACATGACTGACCAGACTGTCTCTTCACCTCCACATTCCTGATTCTTGAGTAAGAAGGGAGTCAAAGGCTAGCTACCTCCACTCTAGGGGAGGGTTTAATGACTCTCCCTCCACTGCTCTTTGGGGAAGAGAGTTCCAAAGACTCGCAACTCTTTAAAAGAAAACTTCTAATTTCAATTTTAAATGAAATTTCTTTATTTTTAAACTGCACATTCCAGTTCTAGTCTACTATATTTGCTGCTCACAATGCAGTATCCTGTACATTAGAATCATAGAATCTCTACAGATTTCCCACTGCAAGGAGGCCATTCAGCCCATCAAGTCCACACTGCCCCTCTGAAGAGCATCCCACTCAGACCCACACACCCCCACCCTATCCCTGCATTTACCAAGGTTAATCCACCCAACCTATGGATCCGTGGACACTATGGGCAATTTAACATAGCCAACCCACCTAACCTGCACATCATTGGTCAGCGGGAGGAAACCAGAACACCTGGCAGAAACCGACAGTCACCCAAAGCTGGAATCAAACCTGGGTCCCTGGTGCTGTAAGGCAGCAGTGCTAACCACTGAACCACTGTGCTGTCCACTGGGGAGATGAAATGCAGACTGGGTGACTGCTTTGCAGAACAACGGTCCATAAAAATGACTCTAAGCTTCCATCTGCCTGCCACTTCAACACACCATCGTGTTCCCGTGCCAACATTTCTGCCTTGGGCTTGCTGCAGTGCTCCAGCGAAGCTCAGTGCAAGCTAGAAGAACAACATCTCATTTTCTGCTAGGGAACCCTGCCGCCTTCAGGGTTCAATAACATTAGAATCTGAATACCTTTTTCCATGTCCTTCACCCATCCCCACACACCATCATCAACACATATACCACCTTTTCCTAGCTGCTTTCAGTTCTACAGAAGGATCATTGGACTCAAAGCATTGACTCTACTTTCTCTCTGTGGATGCTGCCAGATCTGTTGAGTTTCACCAGCAATTTCTGTTTTTGTTTCACATCTCCAGCATCTGCAGTTGTTTGTTTTATGAAGTGATCAGAGCCAGTCAACCTGGTATTATGAGGAAATACGATGCAAACAAACATATTAGAATATTATGAGGAGGTTTCTAAATCTTTGCACGAAGTGGTCTGCTTGGACATCATTTCTGTTTAGTAATGCGACATCAAGATAACAATGTAACTTCCACTGCTGCACATTTAGTCTGCATTAAAGGAGAATGCAGAACATTTTCAGCACAGTATTCACTCATCTCTTTAACTGACATGCTTTGCTCATCCATCTATGATTTCAGGAAAAAAGAATTCGGTATCATCTTGTACTGTTTCTGGTACCATGTTTGACACCTTGAAAACTGCCAAAGCCTTAAGATATTTAACTTTACAAAGGAAGAGCTCTTGCATTTTCACCCATCATATTCATTGCGTATTTTTTCAGAAAGTCAATTGAGATTTCAGTAATGATTTATAGTCAGTTTTGCGGTTCCAATTTGTAAAACTGTCTGACATTTCACCTTGTGCTTATTTTGTATGACAGCTGGGAATCAATTTTGACCCCAGAGTTTTTTCACAAGGATACTCTTTAAAGAAATATTTCATAGAAGATCATAAAATCTCTACAGTGTGGAAACAGGCCCTTTGGCCCAACAAGTCCACACAGACCCCCACAGCATCCCACCCAGACCCATCCCCCTATAATTCACCTAATCTACACATCCCTGAACACTATGGGCAATTTAACACGGCCAATCCACCTATCCTGCACATCTTTGGACTGTGGGAGGAAACCGGAGCACCTGGAGGAAACCCATGCAGGCACAGGGAGAATGTGCAAACACCACACTGTCAGTCACCCAAGGGTGGATTTGAGCATGGGTCCCTGATGCTGTGAGGCAGCAATGCTAACCAGTGAGCCACTGAGCTGTCCCATTTTTAAAATTGATGCACTCTTACTAAGACAGCAATCCCAGCACTGTGAAATTTTGTTTTGTCACGTTAAATAAACTGTAAAGTAAAACATTTCTGACGCTATTCATATTCATACTGCTGAAAATGAAAAGCTGATCCAATTTGCAATAATAGTGTGAGGCTGAGACATGGTTGTCATGGAAGAAGAGATGAAGGTTTTCCAGAACATTATAAAGTAACAAAATGTCAAACAGCCATCCATTTTATTGAAGAAAGTAAAATTCTGTACATGGAACAAATTTCAGTGAATAAATATCATTAGCCCCTTATTTGATCAAAATAATAGCATTTCTTTCTGCTGAGATTACTGAAATAATTATTTCATTGGAATGATATGAGCAGCTGGCCCACGTCATCTCACATTAAATATATTTGGAGAACTGTAATAACTTGAAGATAGTCTGCAGATCTGTACAAGGTGACAATCTGGTCACAGACATTTTTATTTCATTAGTCAGCATGGGTTTAGCAGTATCTGCCGAAGTTCTGATCTATATTTCTGATGTGTCAGAATCCCCATGAGGAGTACAAAATGTCATCAAGATGGCGGTGGAGTAAGGCTCCCGAGCTGGGGCTTCTCCACTCCAATTGCTTTTCTTTTCCTTTTTTCCCTCTTTTCTTACATTTTTCTTCTCATACCTCTTGTCTTGAACTCGGATGGTATCGACAGTTGCGAGGGATCCCAGTGCGGAATTGTGTTGTTGGTGAGAGAGCTAAGCGCGGAATTGTGTTGGTGGTGAGGGAATCCAGTGCGGAATTGTGTTGG